CACCCATTGAGAAGCAAGGATACCACGCTTGGTCCCAGCAACTGGTTTCCTCATTACGCTCCACAGAAACACTAATTAAACTCTCCGAGGCGACTCCGGCGGTGGATAACCATCTCCTTCACCTCTGGGAGGCCCGGCGCAGCCTCGTCCGCCGATGGCGCCGGCAAAAACACAACCGAAAGCTCAAAATTCGCATCGCTGAGCTCACCCAGCGAGCAGCAGAGTACGCGGCCCAGCTCGCTGACTCTAACTGGGTGGACCGTTGCAACACGGCCGCTCGACAAATGTCCAGCCGGAGTACGTGGCGCCTCTTCCGCGCCTTGATTGATCCGACCCAAACTGGAACAGAGACACAAAAACATCTGCAACGAGCATTTCACAGCTTCGACGGAGACACAGCCAAATTGGCATGTAAACTTCGAGACCAATATCTATGCACACAGCAGGACTCCCGAGGGCCGGCGTACTCGTATGCAGGTACCGAGAACGCGGAGCTGGATCAACTGTTCCAGTTACACGACCTGAAGGCAGCCCTAGCAAAATTGAGGCGAGGAACAGCGCCGGGAAGGGATAAAATTATCGTGAAATTACTAGCCAATCTTCCTGACTCGGCCTACACCATGCTCCTTGCCTACATCAATTCCACTTGGATCGGGCAAACAAGCCTACCAATTGAGTGGAAGACCGCCCTGGTCACCTTCATACCCAAAGCGGGCAAAGCCATTAACACGGACAACCTCCGCCCCATCTCCCTTACTTCTTGTGTGGGAAAATTAATGGAGACGATGGTGCGTGACAGGTTGTTCGCGTTCCTGGAGACCAAAAATGTTCGCAGACACCATGTTCGGGTTGCGCCCACACCGGTCCGCGCAAGATGTCTTGCTTCAGCTCGACCATGAGATCCTCGATCCAGTCGAGTATCCCCTGAATGACAAAGTTGTGCTCGCTTTGGATCTGAAGGGGGCCTTTGATAACGTGACCCACGAAATTATTCTAACACATCTTTCACAGGTGGATTGCTGCCAAAACACTTTCAACTATATTGTTACGTGAGCCTACAGGTAGCAATATTAAACAATTACTCACTGTCCGACAATCATACATTCGGATTCAGGACATTGAACACGGCCCTTACCGATTAGGCACGAGAGGGACTCCGCAGGGAGCGGTCCTCTCGTCCCTCCTATTCAATGTGGCAATGATGAGACTCCCCGCTCAGCTGGCGAAAGTCGAAGGCATACAGCATGCGCTGTACGCCAACGACATCACCATATGGGCGTCACATGGCTCTGCAGGAGACATGGAGGCAAGCCTGCAGCAAGCGGCGGACATCGTGGATGACTATGCCCGTCGCTGCGGCCTTCAGTGCTCCCCGTCCAAATCGGAATTCGTGCACATACGCCCCTCACCAAAGTGCAGCACAAAAATCGACCTCTCCCTTCACAGCGGACCAATACCCGAACGCGATGAGATTAGAGTACTGGGGATTTTTATCCACAAAAATCGCAGAGCAGGCACAACATTGGCCAAATTGTGCAAGGTGGGGGTCCAGGTGGGCCGGATGGTCCGCCGGGTTTCCAACAAGCGCGGGGGGTTACGATGCAAAGATGCCTTGCGGCTGGCGCATGCATTCGTAACCAGCCGAGTCCTGTACTCGGCTCCATACCTCCACCTACGCAAATCCGACGAGAATGCACTTGAAATCATTCTCCTCAAAATCTACAAGCGCGCCCTCGACCTTCCTGTCAGCACCTCTAACCAGCGCCTTTTGGGCTTGGGAATGGTGAACACCTTCAAGGAGCTGAGAGAGGCGCACTTGACAAACCAATATACTAGACTCTCTAAAACACCGTCGGGTCGCCACCTCCTTGCCCGGCTACACATCCATCATTCAATACACATGGAAGAGCGCGTACGGATTCCAGAAGTTTGGCGATACTCCTTGCACGTGCGCCCTCTTCCGGCTAACATGACCCGAGACGACTACAGTAGCCGACGCCTCGCGCGGGCGGAAGCCTTGGCTCGACACTACGGCCACAAATTCGGAGTATTCTACGTGGACGCCTCCGGCCCGCACCACGGTGGTTGGTACACGGCTGCGGTCGTCCACCAAAACACCGTTGTAAACGGACTCACATTCCGTGCACATAATATTACGCACGCGGAGGAGATCGCCAGCGCACTAGCCGCCGCAGATCAGGACTCGAGGGTCATCATCAACGACTCAAGGGGTGCCTGTCGCAATATTGAACAGGGATACATTCCGTACCATGCTTATAAAATTTTGCAGAACAGCAGCTACCTAGGTGCCCCCGCGCACCGAACGATTATATGGGCTCCGGCTCACACTGGCCTCGATGGTAATGAGACGGCCGATGCCGCCGCCCGCGCGCTCACTCTCCGGGCACCATCCTCGTCCCCTACCGATCCGGAACTCGAACCCAATCCCGCCTACACCTTTAAGGAGGTCACACAATTTTATCAATCCGGCCATAACGTCTATCCGAAACCCTGTAAGGGCCTCACGAAGGCGGAGGAGCGAATCCTCCTTCGCCTTTATACTAAAACTCTATTGTGCCCGGCAATCATAAAACACTTTGACCCCGCTTGCACGGGGAAGTGCCCGCGTTGTGAGGAAGATTGCTCTGACATTTTCCACATGGTGTGGGCATGCCAAAAAACCCCAAACCTTACCCCACTACCCAACCCTTCGCGGGAGGACTGGGAGGCAGCCCTGCTCGGCTGCTCTGACCTGACGGCCCAACGGGCCCTGGTCGAGCGTGCCCGGGCCGCGGCCAACGCCAATGGGCTCCCATAAGAGAGAGCTCACCTAGTGTTTGTACGGGGCGGCCCCTTAAGGACCGTTCCCACCCTCCCTGTAAATAACTCCTGTAAACAAATGTTTTTCAGCAGCAGCACTGACACAAACTTGCAACTTTCATCGGTTGAGTGATCATGTGTTTGGTCTGAGTTGCGCGTCTGTGCCAATGTGTGTGTCTGGTTTTTCCGTGTGTGTCGAAGTAGCACAATTATCCCTTTTGCATTATTAGCTAGCTATCAAGACGTAGTAGGTAGCTGTTACAGCTATTACTCTGTAGCATCAATGGGGCATTGGTTTGCAGCCAATCAGTACTATCAGTATGTTTTTTTACTCTGTAAACTAATACAATGAAGGGCACATTTCGAGCGTCCCTCTTGCGTTATGCCAATAATCAATTGTCGCGTTCTTTGTGCTGCGTTATCGCGACGCGCCAGTGCATCGACGCTCGGTCAATGTGGACACTGTCAGATTGGCGTAGCATATTCGTCGTATGAAAAAGGCGAGTGAGCGTCAAGTTTTCCGGGAAGGAAGCGCAAGGAAGCCAAGTGGTGGTTATTGAGTTGCGACAAAAGAACTGCCTCATAGGTGAAAACTGCTTTAGAAGGTATACTTGCGCTCAAGGCGAATGGGAGTGCTCGGGGTATCTCTCGGCGACATAATAATACTCGTCTCGTATAGCTTGCCTGAGTTCCCTTTCTCGATAATTGCACTCTCTACTCTCCTTATAGTGCGATGTCATGCCTATAGTCGCTAGCCAGTTGTGACTATGAAACACCACACGTGCAGCGAGAACGCAAGGAAAGTCGGTATATAGATGATGAAATGACTCGTTGTTATGAGGGCGGAGTGTACCTTTGTCGTTGCGCGTAGAATCACGTGGGTGTACACTTAACGTTTCAACTCCTGCTTGAGCACCCGCCGCGGTGGTCAAGTGGCTAAGGCACTCGACTGCGGACCCGCAGGTAGCGGGATCGAATGCCGACTGCAGCGGCTGCATTTCCGATAAAGGCGAACATGCTGTAGGCACGTGTGCTCATATTTGGGTGTACTTTAAAGAACCCCAGGTGGTCGAAATTTCTGGATTTCTTCACTACGGTGTCTCTCGTAATCATATGGTGGTTTTGGGACGTTAAACCAAGCATATAAATCAATCAGCTCCTGCTTGTGCGATGACGGCTGTAGCGAAGCGTAAGTGTTTATGGTGCTTCGATCTGCACGTCTGTGTGTGATCCTGTTTAGAGAGAGAGAGAGAGGTAAAGATGCAAGGCAAGGCAGGGAGGTTAACCAGACGCACATCCGGTTTGCTACCCTGCACTGGGGAAGGTATGAAGGGGAGAAAAGAGGTTGCAGAGAGATGAGAAGGTACACACAATTACGAGCACACTCGGGGGAGGACACAAAGCTATTTTGCTTCCACAACAAACACAGGCACACGCGTCCACCAACGTGCGGAAGGACACGTACGCAGACGTTGGAACGAGCACACACACACGCACGCGCACGCATGCACGCGCACATTCTTACTGCCGGTACGCAAACGGCCTCGAAGAAAGCACTGCTTGCTGCAAAGGGAGGCCGCCGTATACACCCAAGGAGTTTTTTAAACCTCCTTGCGTATACCAGTAAGCGCCACGCGGAGCACGTGAGCGGATTCCGGGATCTGTCTTTGGCATCGGCGCCGCAAACTGAAGTCAAGGCCCCACGCAAGGCACCGCGCAATGCTGAGTATACGGAACACTGTATCAGCGCCATCTCAAGTGATTAACAGATCGAACATGACCTGAAATCCCACTTCTGTTTAACCTCCTTTTGCTCAAGCCGTTTCTATTAACTCGGATACGGAGCACCGCATTGCCATTTATAAGTCCTACGCACTACTGCTTCTATTTCTATGAGTCTTGTTTCCTCTTTAATTTATCCTATTATTGGCTTCTCGAAAAGAGCATACGGAACAAAGTCGAAGTCATTGAGCGCGTACACTGAGATCCAAGAAGCACATAAGGCGCTAAATGTGACGGCTGGCTGTAAAATAAACTACACCGCTGTGTCTACGAGGTTCCCGAAACACAGCAGCGCGTCTGCGTTGCTCGGCGTTTCAGAGGCGGCAATGCCCGTGTATACGCTTCTCAAATGTCAGTGCTCCCAATCTGTTCATACAGTACGACCCTATAGATTCCGCTTACAGCGCTTTGCGCTCCGTTTCTCGGGCGTTAAGTCTTCCAGAGCCTTTCTAAAATGAAAAAGGGAGTGGCTTAATTTTATATGAACCGCCAGTGAACCCTCTCAAATCGATAGAGCTCGCTGATGTGCGAGAATTACAACAAAACTTAAAAGCGTTGTGCGAAATTTCGGATCGAGTGTTGCGCTCTCAATAACACAGGACGCCTCTGCAGTTTAGATATCGCCACTGACGACCGAAGATCCTAAAAAAAAAAAAAAAGTAATGAGAACATAATGTATAGTGCTTTGTCATTGAATGATTTCTGCCGTGGTTCTCTTGATCACGGCACATACCATATCCATAGCATCAAAATTACGTAAATCGGTCTTTGTGAAATGGGTCTTCTGCTTCCTGATACGAAGATGAAAGGACGCCGTAGCCTGTCGGTATACTCGCAACAGAAACAAAACGTAAGAAAAAAAGAAAGAAAAATAAACAAACTGACGCGAAATTTCTGTCACGTGCTATAGATACAAGTATACAGTATCAGAATACAGCCTTTTGGATCGAACATAGCACAGGTGATTTTGCAAGCAGGACGTAAGTTTCATACTCTTGGTTTAACAGGAGACAAAAAAAAGAGGCAAGCCAGGTAGGATGTAAAATGTCCCTCGTAAAAGGCAGTCGAATGCAGTTATTTAAGTAGACCAGCCAGCAAAACAATGTTATTTGGCGCTTTACAATGAGCAATTCAATGTATAGAAAACTCTGTCACACCTATGGCGAAAATAAAGGGATACATTAGTAAGAAATAAAGTCATGGCTAAGCTGCGACACCTCACGAAGCAGCGTGGATGGACAATTTGAGTGAATCAAACACGCACATGCCGTGCGCTCACTTCTTGAGTTGTTTATATGCCGCCGTTAATGATAAACAATTTTTTTCTTCTACCGCATTTGGTCATTTAGCAGAAGCCTTCACCTTTTTACACATCTTGCCTGAATCGGTGCGTTGCCAAAAGCCCGAGATAAATTAACATAACCGATGATTAAATTATCTCCCTTATACAGAAAGTCATGCTATCGGAATAGGGCGTAGCAGAAAAATTGCCATTATTATAAACTAAACTTTGCTTATTGAACTCTGCGCCATATGACATTTACGTCAGGAATGATAATGTTCAATATCATTAAATTGTGTGGTTAAGCACCCATTCAAGCTTTCTCAGCTGCGACTGCCCAAAAACATCGTACGTAGTCAGCTATAAATTTATACACTGCATTCCTTATGCATTCTAAATTACGGTCACACTACTACCCGCATATGTAAAGGACTTAGAGCTAGATGAGGTTCTTGATTCGCGCATGGCATAAGCACTATTACCCGTTTACGTGAGCATGCATAACTTTTGGTCTTTTTTTATGACAGGCTCTGCGATATCATCTCTAACCGTAATCTCTTGGAAGCGTTGGTTTTCGAACCAGGTCAGGAAGTTTTTTGTCCTTAGCACTAATAATTTTTTGATTTTTTTTCTTCTAAAGAAAGTCACGTCAGAAACAGACTTGCTGAAAACTGTGCGTTATATGTTGTCGTGATCGCATATATTTCTTCACTACGGCCTTTCGGTTCTTCATGTATTTGAATTATTTTGCTTCTTGAATAACTTTAAATATTTAGTTACTCAACTATATTTTTAGCATATTTTTTAGAACTATATTTCGAACTATATTCAGAACTATATTTCGAACTATATTTTAAAACAATACGTTTAGAACTATATTTTTACCAGAATATTTAGTAGTGAATCAGAAATGAATCTTTTATAGGGACAGCATTGTATTTATTTAGCAGGAATGTGTTCTCTGATTCCTACCATTGACGCTCAAGCGGTGCAGGCTTTAGGCTTTAATCGCAATCGTTTTTGTTTCAGGACAAGATGTGGCAGATTCGTGCGCCTAGGTTTGGGAAAAGCCTTCAGTTTGTCGAAAACTTCGATGGAGGTAGCTCTGTCGCCACGTACAGTTCGAATAGACAAGCATCTGGACGTAAGAATGTAATGCGTCGTGTCACTTCCTTCAAAAACACGGGTGCTATGCGCAGTACGCGGTTGAACAATTTTTATTTTTCTCTCTCTGTCGTTGTTTACGTTTACCACGTTCGACGAACCGGGGACAATGAATGAAAGAAAAGAGGATAGAACGCATCCACGAGGAAATTTAGCGCGCCATGATCGATCTAATGCATTGGCATTTGGTCGTCGCTACTGGAAGCGGTGTGTGCCTTGAGCGGTTGTTCTTGAAATCGGCCATGGGCGAAAACCTGTCAACCATGTCGACGGCGTTTCGGGCACGGAAGTTTCCTCGAACGACCGACTCGAGGACGCACACGCGTTTTGCCATTTGCGCGACATTCCGTGTAGCCAAGTACATTGCGAAATTAAAACAGCGCGCATCGTGACTGCGAGTGATGATGGCCTTGATGACGGTCGTCTTGAGCAGTGACCTTCAACTACGCCACGCCGGAACGCTTGCCGATGAACGCCGAATTCGATGTACCTGGGAAATACTAACAAAAAAAAAGTTGTACGGCGTGACGAAAGAAACCTGCAATTTTATTACGGTCTTGCATGCCTCATCAAACGCGCATATTTACTGGCATCCTCGTTGGGCGGCGCCAACACAAGTAACGCAAAAAAAATAATAATCGCGTAGTAATGTCACCGTTATGACGTCATCATAAAGTAATTGAGAAGCCCTATAACGTAATGCAATCACGGGTGTGTTCCAATACTCATATACAGGCGGCTATACAGAAATCCAAGTGGACGGCGGCCATCCTAAATCTCATTGTAATTCTCCGGTAACTGACAAAATAGACAGATTCGAGAAGACGGCATAGTACACAATAACAATGCAGGCTACTTTGCTGTCGAAACACTATGGCGGCTATGCGAAGTGCTCGGATAGGTCAGATATCACCGGAAAGGTCGTCTGCACAAAAGCAGACGCTTCTTCAGACGGTCCGCGTGAGTAACGTTCAAATTTCTTGGATTTGAACACCAAAGAAATTTGAACACGAAATAAGCTAAAAAATCTAACAATTACGTTTGTTTATCTTAGCTTTTTCTTCTCGGTGCAAGCTGGCGTCTCGTCGCATAGACTTCATCCAGACGTGTTGCATTTTTTGAACAACATGGCCTCCATGCTGTCTTCTAAGCTGTCAGCGTAGACTGTCTAATATGCTGTCTAGAATTAGAACAGAATTGGCGTCATCATCGCATAGAATATTGATTGGTCAAACGTGGGCCGATCTAAGAGGCCGTGCGAAACAACTGGAGTGCTGATATCTTGCAATGCCTCCGATCCTGGAGGCATTGCAAGATTCCCTCAGTGTCAGAAAGCTTTCAAAGAGAGGTGCGGGAGTTTCAGTATTTCGAACAAAAAAAAAGTGGATGGTTTTCGCCTTCTAGTCAAATGAAGTGTATGCATAAATGAACCTGCAAGTTTTTTTTTTGTTTTTATTGATCGATTGAATGATACGTGGGGTGTAACTTCCCAAAACCACCATATGATTATGAGAGACGCCGTAGTGAAGGGCTCCGGAAATTTAGACCACCTGGAGTTATTTAACGTGCACCCAAATCTGAGAACACGGGCCTACGACATTTCCGCCTCCATCGGAAATGCAGCCGCCGCAGCCGGGATTTGAACCCGCGACCTGCGGGTCAGCAGCCGAGTACCTTAGCCACTAGACCACCACGGTGGGGCTTTCCTCACCACTCATTTATTCACAAAGCACGTGTAATTTTAGCACTAACAGCGTTCAGTCGCGGTCAAGATTTTGTTGTTGTCGAGTGCACGCTGCTAACTCCACTCGCGAAGTTTCAAACGCATAAAACGGAGTGAGATCCGCCTATCGCTCTGGGCATTCATGGAAGACAAAACAGAATGGACGCGGGACTGCCCGGCGAAACGGGGTAAGAGATAATTCACAACAGATGTCTTTTGGATATCCACCAACCGAGAGCTTACTTCGTCCTGAGGTCACGTGAACAAACCAGTGATGTCACGGATTGCGCCGCAAGAACGCGAGACGCTGGGACTGAATAACGCACCTGTTCGTATACTGAGAGGTTTATTTATTTATTTATTTAAAATTTCTTACAGGCCCTTTTACATGGCATTGAGTAAGGGGGGTAATTGGTGAAGTTTTACAGATCACACAAAATTAATTCACGCGTTTCAAAGCGTATCAGTACAATGAAAATATGACGCGGTTTGCAATATAAGTTGAAGTTAACAGGCGATAACAAGAAAAAAGAAAAGGCGATTTCATAGTGCACACACGACAGTGGGAACCGAATACAGTCATTATGGCATATGAAGGCGACATCAACCAAAGATAGCCAGCTGGCTTTACCTCAACGAAGTGCCGTAATTTGTTTATAAGTTGCAGAACATACAATAGAAAAAGCACCAAAAAACGCAGAACCTATGCCCATACACAGAAAACATTTCCACTGTGCAACAAACATAATTGGGCACAAAATCCAAAAAAAAGAAAGGTTGCATGGGGCCCCTTTAATGGCGCATGGACACAAGCCTTCACCGATGAGCGCGCGCTCTTCAGTGGCGTCATCTGTGAAACGGTTGTCGACATCGCCTACTGCGAGAGGACTATTTCTTTAGTGGCTTAGAAAATCGGCTGCCACGCTTCGGTCACATGTGCGGGGCCCCTCCTATGTTTTTATGTGTCCATTTGTTGGTGCGCACTACACGTTCAAGATTAGGCTGTTTTGGTGTACTATTGTGCAAGCGACCCGAATCGACTTATATCAAGAATACGACAATGCATAATAAAGTGTCAATGAGCAAAAAAAAAAAAGCTTGACCACGGCAGTGATGACATCTTGCGCAAGACGGAACACAACTTGTCTGTTAGATTTGTGCTAGTGGCATATTGAGTAGAAGAGCACGTAAAATACATCCAAAGACGGTTGAGAAATGAGTGTTGCGATGAAATTAAAAGTTTCCCGACACAGAACGAATAGGCAGCACTAAAAGCACAAGGAAGAAAAAAAAACACTTATGATTCACAAATAAACCATTATCCTTACCTCGTGTTTTCCTCAACTTTCTGTACACTCTACGTTCTTCATAAAGGTACAAAAAATGGTAACAGGTTAAACGGTGACCACAAAACTGGCTAGTGAATACAGGCCTTGATTGTTAATCGAACGTACTAGAGGTACAAAATTGATCGATAAAAGTAGAAATAGTGATGGGTTTAGTTTAATAATACTGGTGAAACACCAGCAATGTGTGTCGGTATCACTCAGAACATACCCCATATTTTAAAGAGTTGTGCAGACTTGTAAAAAACGACAACTCACGCTGCCATTCTCCTGGATGTCGTCATTCTCCGAGATTTTCGTAACCAATGAAGCTGCGTTCGTAACCCACAGCAGGCTGCAGTATCGGCCTTCCATGGCGGTGGGCGCACGGTCACTGAACGCCAAGCTCTCCGCGTCACCGTGCCCGATGTCCAAGCACTCGTCGTACGAGCCAGCGTCCGACGACGGAGACGACGTCGTGAGAACACCGCTGGGGAACTTGCCTGTGGCGTCCAGAACTGCGTGCACAGGAAAAGAAATTGTGTGTATGACCAATTGAAAGAACATATTGCTCAATGTGAATTCAGAAGCTCGGAAGAACAGCTCGACTCAGACGACTGGTGCAAAGTAACAACTCAGAGCTGGCGGTTCTTCATCGTATTTTGTGGGTGTATTTTGTGGCATAGCCACATCCCTCGTTGTAAATACAATGAAAATGACTTCCTCTGCTTGGACATGCAGTGGAAGTAACACACACGTCCTCTGTGCATGATTCGCAATACAGAATAATATATTGCCGTAATATAGCGTGGTACAAGCGCACATTGGCGTCTGGCGTCAGAACTTGGGATTATGATGACGTCATGAGCAACTCGATTTCCTTGTCAAGATGTCTCTTATTAATTTATTTGATAGAAAACATGCATTTTTTTGTATTTGCCACCACTCGATTAAGGACTGTTTATATTTCTATCCTTCTATTCACACTTCTGGCAGTTCCTGTTCGACTACGGTACCCGTGTAAGATAACACGTGATGTTTTAATTTTCTGCCTACTGTACTTGCGGTATGTTTCTGCTTTGCTGCCAGGGTGGCACGACCAAGTCAGCCATTTACTTAGCCTTTAGTCGTGTCTCCCAAGGCAATCTTGTTCAATTTTGCCTTGAATAAACCAAACCAAACCGAAAGTCATCAGTTACGCACTTTAGAAGGAACACGTCCGCTACTTATCCCTTAAGGCCACGTAGTGTGTGCATGACAAGTTGGAAAATAATTCATACACTAAGTGTTTTAAATGCACACTAGGAACAGAATGTGGCTATCACGTTCAACTCTTAAAGGCGAAGTTTAATGGTTTCCCAACCTCATTTGCTTGGACTGCCTGTGAAGGCTGAGAGAAAATTTTTTTTGGATTATGAAAACTTCTTTTTTAACCAAACAAAACATGTGTTATGATGTGCCCCCCCCCCCCCCCCCCAAAAAAAAGGCCCAGTATGCAGTATGCAAAAAAAAAAGGCCCAGTGAAGAGATTAGCAAATTTCATCCACCTGGTTTTCTTTAACGGGCACTGACAACGCACAGTGCATAGGCGTCAACCGTTGCGGTTCAGCCAAAACACAACTGCTGGAATCGAACCCGCGACCTTCAGTTCAGCAGCCGAGCACCGCAACCATTGTTTCACCGTGGCAGATAAGAGCAAGAACGACGATAAAGAAGAGCACACTGGCGTTATCTCACAGATTGAAAAACGACACACTTGATTCTGTGTTTTATTTTTTGAAAGAAAAGTACCCAACCATACAACCGTCATGCATTGCCCCTGTTGCATTCTGCATTTTTTACTTCTCGGAGGTTTCCTGGTATAATTTTTTTTATCGTTTCTGTGCCCTTGCGTACGAAGGCCGCCAGGAGCAGCCGCTGGAATCGAAACGACCCCCACGTTTTGAGCGATCTGTTTTTTTTGTTTCGTTTCTTTTATCATGCCGGTTTTGAAAGGAAGAGGAGGAGAAAAACTTTATTCAACAGAGGAGTTTGGAGCTAAAACGCAGCGCTTACTCACGACTCCCCTGCAGGACTTTCTTACGCGTTGGAGCGGATTCCAATGACAGCGTTCAGTTTTGCGATCCTGTTGCCGCAACTCGGGTAGCGCGACCATCGGAAATTATGATAATAAGAAAGAGGATAAACTTGGCGAGCAGTCAAAGATTCATGCAACGAGAGGTGACCTATAGATATCCGGAAAAAGCAAGATAACGTCCTACGCCTCTGATGTGCTTTTTAGTTTTTGTTTGTTAGTTGCTTGTGTGTTTGCGCGTATTCACTCGTGAAATCGTGCAACCTTGCGGGCCTTGTCAGATCTGAGAAAGCAGGATCAATGGTACTGGCATGCTGCGCTGAAAGCTTTGGAATTTATTTAACGTTTGCGTTCACTTATCACTGACCCTAATCAGTATATATGACTGGGTAGATAGCCGTGGATGTCGTCGTACTTCAAACGAAGGCTTCAAAGATGTGTGCAGAATACTTTTGCCAGAGATTGATGCCAAGATGACCTGAATTTCTGAACATCGTTCTTTAAGAGTACGTGAGAGCATCTGGGCGCTTTCTGTGTGTCAGTGAAAGATCACGCTACAGAGAGAAGTGAAGAGAATAAATAATAAAGAAATGAACAAACATATAAAATAGATAGATAGATAGTTAGTTAGATAGATAGATAGATAGATAGATAGATAGATAAATAGATAGATGCATATAACGGAACGAATGGTGACGGAATAATCACTAGATCGTACATTTTTATGCCATATCTTTTTTTTTACGCTTTTTATGAATGAGGAGAATGGAGAGGTATTGACGTCAGAAGTTTGTAAGGTTTTCTAGACAATGCCACATTACACGAGGTAAATTCATCGAACAATTTTTTTCGTCAGGACGATTTTACTTCAAGAATTCTCTCACTGGCTTCCATAGCGCTGCACTCGATGTATGAAATGGGGAGTATTGTTTCTAGTTAAAATAACATTCAAGCACGATGGGCGTATGATCACATCAATAAAAAGATCAAAACTAAACCACTTGTTGTGAATGTTGATGATGTGCAGAAAATTGGTATACCAATAAAAATTTGCACGTCGGAAATTTGAGAGGAAGAGCGGCCCTTCGTCTCTCGATGTATCAATCTCAAAAGGCGTCTTATCTATAAACTAAAGTGTTTGTGCCCTTTTTCTTCAGAAACTGAAAGAAACAGAGCGTGCTTGAAAAAAGCGTCCTACGGTGAAGGTGCGGTGTATTCTGAAATGACACACTTTGAATTCCATGATGAGAACTGGAACCTTGTAATTCATCGGCAACAAATTATTGGCAACAGTTGGTTCCGGCGTTCCTCAAGGGTCAGTCCTTGGTCCACGCTTACTTCTGATCTATATCAACTATTTACCTACTAACACAAATTCCCAAGCTTGTTTGTTTGCAGATGACTTTGTACATTATCGGAAAATAACTAGCGACTCAGACGTGACATAATTACAAAGTGATTTGGATACCGTATCACAGTGGTTCCGCAAGTGGCACATGGAACAGAACGTCGCTAAATGCTGGTGCATGCGTGTAACCATGGAGGTGTAATGTTACCTCTCCGTCCTATCCCCTCAATAATTTTCCCCTGCAAAGCATGGCTTCGTATCGCTACCTTGGCGTTTACATATCTAACAACTTGTCATTGAAATATCACGTTAGTTACGTATCAGCTAAAGCAAACCAAGCCTTAGCTTACTTGAAAAGAAAGTTCTATCTTGCCCCACCGTCACTAAAACTGTTTCTTTATACTACATACGTTCGCCGTCAACTAGATTACACTTCGTCTGTCTGGGATTCGCAATGCTCTACATTAAAAAAAAAAGCATTGAGGCAGTGCGAAATCGATCTGTTCGCTTCATCTCGTCTAACTATGACTGCAATGCCAGTATCACAAACATAAAAGCTGCTCTTAACCTCCCTTTCCTAGCAGCCCATAGAAAGGACTTACGTATTTGTATTTTTCACAAAATTTACTACAAGAACCCCACTCTTCGTTCCTTGTTGATATGCCCAGCTCCATTCCGCTAACATCAGCTTGATCGTCATCATAAGGTTCCGATACAATATTTTTCAAGTAGTGCAGGCTTGCAATCATCTAGCGCCATAACAGTAGGCGATTGGAATAACTTACCAGCCTTCGTAACTGATGTAACTGATACCAATGCATTTAAAAATGCCTTATCAAACCTTCTGTATTGTTACACGTTTGTTTCTTCTGCGTATTGTACTCTGCTAAATTTTAGGTATTTTTCGTAATTATTCTCTAAATGCTTCCACTTTTACTTTCATACTATTATTGTTCATGCTCTTGTTTAATATGGCCCCGCCGTGGTGGTCTAGTGGCTAAGGTACTCGGCTGCTGACCCGCAGGTCACGGGTTCGATTCCCGGCTGCGGCGGCTGCATTTCCGATGGAGGCGGAAATGTTGTAGGCCCGTGTGCTCAGATTTGGGCGCACGTTAAAGAACCCCAGGTGGTCTAAATTTCCGGAGCCCTCCACTACGGCGTCTCTCATAATCATATGGTGGTTTTGGGACGTTAAACCCCACAAATCAATCAATCAATCTTGTTTAATATGTACAAAGGACCCCTTATATAAAGTATACGAACCCTGAGGGTACAATAAATAAATAAATAAATAAATGAATAAATAAATAAATATCGGCTATAAAACAGTACAACAGTTTATACAAAGTCCGTCTCGCTATAGGTCACCTTCTCTAAGTTACCTAGTATATATACTCGGTCCTGTGCTTGCTCCTCACCAGCAGCTTTGCGTCTTTGCATTCCCTCCAAGGCATTTCTGACTTCTTCTATCATTATTTGTGGGATGCCATCTGGGTTACTGCTATTTCTTATATTAAGGTCGGGGTTGTCCCGGCCACTGTACAGATTTCTGTAACACTCCTCCGTTATTTTAACTATCCTAGCCATGGTTGTAGTTACTTTGCCTTCCTTGTCCCTTAGTGCATACAACTGATTTTCTCCTATCGCAAATTTCCTTTTCACTGCTTTTACGCATCCTCCGTTCTTCCGAGCGTGTTCGAATTTCTCCATGTTACACCTTCTTACGTTGGATACCTTACGCTAATTAATCAACTTCCAAAGCTCTGCCGATTCTATTTTGTCTGCTGTCCTTGAAGATTCAATGCTTAGACACTTCCTAATGAGGTTCTTCGTCCGCTGAAACAGCTTGCCAGAGTCCTGTTTAACAACCGTACCTCTAACTTCCACTGCACACTCCGTAATGATTCTCGTCAGATTATCATTCATTGCGTCAACGCTGAGGCTGGTTTCCTCGATAAGAGCCGAGTACCTGTTCTGAAGCGTGAATCTGAATTTCTGTATTTTCCCTCTCATTGCTAGCTCATTGAGTGGCTTCTTGCGTATCAGTTTCTGTCGTTCTTTGTTGAAGTTTAGGTGAATTCGAGACCGTACCATTC